TCCTTATGACTTACCAAAGACAATAATGGCAATAAGATGAGATCGATTTTCGTATAAATATGAACTCTAATATAATGTGAATTTCCCAAATAAATGTCTATACCAGAGCACTATGATTGTTTTTGCTCTTCTGTAAGTTTTGTAACGTACTTTGTTGATGCTGCATACAAAATTGCATATAGTCTGAGAAACTATATTACACCACAGCTTGTACCAGATACTCTTTAAAAAAACGTGTATATAGGAAAATTTGTGGATAATAATGTATGTGTTGTGGAAAATTATGTACACAAATATCTAGATATTTCAGATATACTATATATTTAAATCAAATAATTGGCTGCATAAATAGAATACAATTAATTTTAAAAATATTAATGCTCTGCAAGAACATTCATACACTCCCAAAAAGATCATGGATGCTGAATTTAGAGTTCATAGTGGTAATTGAAAGATGTTACTTTCTCAATTTTTTCTTCTCTCTCATTCACTCTCTTCATCCTTATCTGTTCGTAAACTATTTCAAATTAATAATTGAGGATTATGAGATTTTTTTAGTTGACAAAATATGTTAGAGAAGAAGCTCCCAGACGTTATATGGAGATGTGTAATAGTCAACTATATATCAATCTGGTTTTTCATTTTATGACTGATTTTGAAGTCATCTCAGTAAAAAAAGGTACAAGTTCTTTTTTAAAAAAAAATCCCCAATATAAAATAATTCTTTATCTTGACCCCTTGTTTACTATTAAAATTGATTTCTGTAAGTTATGTGACTGTCCTGGTTTTGATGTAGCTGTTTTTGTTTAAAGTAGTCCAGTCAGCACTGTGTACCTTTTCTGATTAAGCAATCTCATTATATGAATGAAAGTACTCAGATTTATATGTAACTAACGCTTAGAAAATATGATTTGATACAGTCTTTTCTGGCTTAAATTCCGCTCTTGCTGATTATGTCATTCCAAAGCTGAAGATCTGAGGGCTGTGTGATAAGCACTAGCTAAGACTAGGATTCTTCACAGTTGGATTCAACAAAACCCTTAGCTTTGCTAAAATATCTTTATGAAAGTGTGCTTCTTGGAAAGCAATGATCAAGCCATTAACCAGGAAAGGAAGCAGCAGACCACAGTTCATGTTAGCCATCACTAAAGATAGTGATTTCAAATTCCAATAAGCATGCATCCAGCTCTATCAATATCTCAGTTATGGATTAATGTCCCAAATTTTCACTTTAAAGCTCAATCCCAGATATATGTAACAAATTATCTCTTTCATTGTATTATCTCTTATGAGCTGACACTTTATATATAGTTATTTGTCTCATGTAACCATTGTGGTTTTAATGCTTGTTTGCATGTAAGATAAGTTCTGCTTTTTCTTTTTTAAGAATCAGAATTATCTCACTGAACATGGTTGTAAAAGATACACAAGATATAAAGGGCCCAATTAGTACATGCAAGTCTGTACTGATGCACAATGGCTTCCCAAGGTCATTAAAGAAAGATATGGAACTCAGCTGCAAATGCCACAGACTGAATCCAATATCTTATAAATGTAAACATGTGTTCCATTACTATATTTCCGATTCTAGTAGAATGAGCAATTTGCTTCTTAAAATAAGTGTTTGTGTGTGCCTTTGAATCACTGTTGACTTCTGGAGATTGCCTGGATTTCTCCCTGAAGTTTTGTTAACAGGATTTCAGAAGTGGTTTGCCATTCTCTGCTTCCTAGGACTAAGAGAAAGTGACTGGTTAAAAGCTAATTATGGACCTAAGGTGGGACTAGAACTCATAGTTTCCCAGCTCATTGCCTTAAGCAGTTACACCAAGCTGGATTTTGTTTTTACAAAGGATTGATGTTAAGTTGTCCAACTATATAGTCCAACTAGCAAACTAAATAATCAGAAAATTCCATTCTGAAATGTCCCATATAAGATATATTTCTCTAAAACACTGCTGTCTCTGTGTGATGTAGATGGCAGTAATACAATGCCGAAGAGGGGAAAAAATATCAATGGCAGCAAAACAGTTTGTTCAAATAATTCACTATTGGTAAATTTAAGTTCAGAACCCTTCAAACATCTGACCATCACTTTGCTATTAAGTAAAATAAGATATAAGTACCATGTATATAAAGCAACCAATATAAGCTGCACGGTTTACTACTCTGGAATAGAACCATTATTTCTCATGGTTCACATATTCACAATTTTTCTTCTTCTTTATGGAGATGTAGCTAAGCTAACCAGCTGTAAACCCCCCCCCCCACCAAAAAAAAGACCTTCTGCCTTGAGGTATCCTAACTATTAATTTATAGAACAAAACCTGTGCTTAGGTGCATCAAGTATTTTAGTGAGTTATAAAAATAACTCATTTCATAATTCACTAAATAACTGGCCGTTGATGAGAAATGGAAAGCATGAAAAGTGAAACACAGAAGTATTAACAGTTATCTTATTATGCCTTTTCAGAAATCAGAAGTTGGATAATAACACAATCATAATGGCATTTGTGAGTTAATATATAAATTAAAATGACTAACATAAAATAAAGTAAAATTCTTGCCTTTGTTCAAGCCTCTAAAGATAATACTGAACTTCTTAATTAACTATGTTACAGATTCCTTGTGTTGCAATCATCTCTAAACTTTCTTTATTCAAAAATGAGTTTTGAAGTTATTGACAGAATGTCAAAATTAATTTATTTATTTCTTTTTATAATACCATTACTGAGGACTCTGTAATGAAGGACTGAGTCTAATATCATGGAAGAAAATAAAATCCACTTGTATCATGAATTTCTGTTCTCTTACCTATATAATCTGCTCATCAATGTACCCCTAAAATCTGCTTCATTTGGTTGAGGACTTTCTGGAGTAGAATTAGAGAAATGCAAGGAGCTATAGATAATGCAGCCCCCTTGTATTCTGTAAGCAAATATTGGTTCTTCTCATAACGTTTTCTTTTTAAAAAGTCACAGTTGTTAAACAGCTAACCCTAACAGGATTTGTGCCATCATTCAAAAGTTGTTTTGTGAATACCCATTGCCAATAATGGAATTATCACCACTTGCACTATCTGCCTTTCATTTCCCTCTTTCTTCACTGTTTCTCTCACTGTGCATATATAGTTCATTCTTTTGATAAAAGGTGATTCTAGTGGGAAAAAAAGCTTATATTCTTTAATATGCCATCAATGTGTTGTTTCCATTCATTTCTTACAGGTAAACATATTAATGTTGTCAGATGACACCAATCATTGGTGGTTATTGCACAGAAAGAGATATTGTAAGATATTAAAGGGAAGGGGGAAAATCCACATGTGAATGATTCCCCCCCCCCCCAAATCACAAGCTTCTAAATACAAAGGGTAAGAGAGTCATAGTAACAGCAATTGTGGGAAACTAATTCATATATCCTGCCTACTTGCTTCCCAAGTACATGATTCTTTCAAAAGTCTCATTATTCCAGAGCATTATTTCCTGTTACATTTTATCCAAAAATCAAAATATGCCCCCCCCCCAAATATGCTCTTAAAGTAGCTTGTTGTTTCTTCCAAATTCATATAAACTATAAAAGACTGATGGAGAACTAACTATGCAATCCACAGAATTCCTAGATGATCAAATGGGAGGTTATCCAGAACATATTGTGGGCCTGCCTTTCTTCCATTGTTTTTGTTCAACCCACTAGAACTAGCAGAGAGGATATGCAACACATCCCCTCTATCAAACAATGTCAACTTTCTTGATCTAGGAGCCATGTCTTCTCTGGAGCAGTGCCTACCTTGTGTAATAACATCCCCACCCCACTCAAGAAATCTGGATGGCTCCAATCCTATTGCTTTTTCATATGGCTCCTAAAACCTAGCTGCTTCTCCAGGTGTTCAGGCCGAGTGGGTAGATAAAAGGTTGGACAAGCTTAATGTGGATATGATTTTACAAGGTATTATTTCCCTTGAATGTCATGGGCTATTATTTTTAATTATTTGGTTTTAATCTTTATACACTACCAGAATCACTGTTGTGAGAATGGTGGCCATATATATTATTTAAAGAAATAAAATATTATACCATCCTAATAAAACTATTATTATGAGTAGAAGAATTCTAATTTGAATTTGATTAACTATAATTTTAATTTATAGAATCCTAAGTGAAACTGGGGTATGTGTAGTAATATGAAGACCACTATGCATTGTTTGAGGAATACAGATACTTTTACCGAATCCTGCTTGTGGAAAATGACTCAGCTGGAAAATATTGTTCAGATAATATTTGCTGTGTTTCTTATAATCATTGTCTGATTATGAATAAACATCTCCAATTGTTTCATATATACATAAATCACTGCCAGCTGATGGGTAAGAATGCTTCTAATAGAAATCAACTTAAAGCTTTAATTTTAGAACACGTCTGGATAGCAAATGGATTATTATTTTGCCTTAATAATTAGAAAGAGCTTGCAGGATAGGAAACTGAGATCTTATATCAGGATTACATTTCATCATTATGTAATATCTCAATTTTATTTGGGGATTAAATATTTATTTATTTATTTATTTAATTTTATTTATATGCCGCCCAATCCCAAAGGACTCATACTTTAATATACTTTAATATCCAGATCATTTATATAATAGTCATTCTTCTGCTATTTATTTGATGTTGTTTGGATAAAATCTAATATTATTACTATTCTTTTTCTGATTTAAGGTGATTAGAATTATAAACATAACCTAAGATATCCAAGTCATGTGCATGCTATATATAATGTATTTTTGTGATAGGGATATAATTCATCAAATAAGAAAGCCATATAGAACCATCTCTCATTCTAAGATGATTACAAATATGGAACATGTATATGGATAGCATGAGAAGATATCACAGTGAGGATAGATCAGTAAGAGGCTCTATGGAGGAAATGAATGGCAATGCATAGAACAGCGATGAAGAAGGGAGGAATGAGCAAAAAGGAATTGCACTTTAAGTAAACTATACCTTCACATCCCCGCTCAATCTGCCCACTGCGGTGCAGAGCATCATTAATGAGATCTGGCAGACGCCCATTCAAGTCCACTGATGCTAGACAGCCCTGGAATCCATCTCTCGATGCTACCAACTTTGGGAGGTTGCTATACATTCCTTGAGCCAGTCCAGCAATGTACAGGTCACCTAAAGGAAAACGCATAGCAGACAAGGAAAGACCTAGGAAATCAGTGAGCAGTGCTATTTACAATTATATTATGTTCAGCATCTTAAAAAGCCTTATTGTTAATGATAAGTTAGGTAATACTAATAGGAGAGAACTTTGCAATATAAACAACTGCGTGATATTGAAATAAGCAGTTACAATTATACATTGCATCAACAATATTATAGTTTCCAAATTACAAACAGTAACAATTTCATTACATTCTGTATGAGTCAGACTCCAAGTCCTACATTCAGATCTAGGCATCATACTTTAGAAGGAAGATCAAAGGGCTAGTGACTGATTCGGAAATTAGGAATCTTTAGTTTAATATTGGGAAGACAGAATTGAGGAGAGTACCGTATATTCCGGCGTATAAGGCAACTAGGCGTATAAGACGACCCCCAACTTTTGAGAAGATTTTCAGGGTTTAGAAAGTCATCTTATATGCCAGAAAATACAGTACAATATTGAATTTCTGTTTATAGATGAGCACAATAGGAGCTCCTTTGCTGCTAGAAAGCTTTGTCTTGTTAGTGCTTATTTCTGTAAAAAAAAAATAGGGCTGGCCACTAGGGGGCAGATTGGTTTTAAATTCAGAGAACAGCTACCCATATATTCCTGCGTATAAGACGACCCCTGACTTTTGAGAAGATTTTCAGGGATTAGAAAGTCGTCTTATACACCGGAAAATACGGTAAGATATTTGTCACTCAGCAGGCCAACTTCTATTCTCCATCATTCCAGGGCATGTGTCACATAACAATTTATTTATTTTTATTTATTTTATTTATGAGACTTATATACCGCTTTAAGTGCAAGCACTCTCTAAGCGGTGTACACCAGTAAGCAATGTATATATATATTTACATTGCCCCCAACAATCTGGGTCCTCATTTTACCTACCTCGAAAGGATGGAAGGCTGAGTCAACCTTGAGCCGGTGAGATTTGAACCGCTGACCTGCTGAACACAGTCAGCTAAAGTGGCCTGCAGTACTGCACTCTAACTTACAGGAAAACAGATTTTGAATGAATATAAGGGAAAAAAATCTTAATAAGAAATGCTGTTTTAAAGTTAAATCAGTTACAAGCAGTGTGCTAGACTTCCCTTTACTTGTTCAAATGGAGCAGCAGTGAGACAGCTATCCGTTGGAGAGGTTTAATCTGGACTCCTGCACTAGGGATTGGATTAGAAGATGTAAATGGGCCCTTTCAACCCTATGATGCTTTATATAAAGTTCTTAAGAAATAAGTTCAGCTATCCAGTGGAATATCTTTTTCAAGTTTTATTGCTTTCTACAGAGTCTTTCCCAAACCCACAATCTCTTTATAACTGAAAATACCAGGTATTTATACTCATTATATGGTTGCCATTCTGGTATTTCCCACATTCAGCTTTCAGATTTTTAAACTGATATGATATTAGGAATAATTATTATCATGCATGGATGAATCAGGAATCAGTTCAAAATTGATCCAATTACTTACCCTTAAGGTCAAGGTTTTTGGCACCATTGATGACCTGAGTAACAACCCTGGTATCCACTTTTAGGCTATGGGTGTTGCTATTGTCTCTGGTGATAACTACATTATGCCACTGGTTGTCATTCAATGGGCGATCACTGTTGCCCTTGATAACATTAGGTCCATTTCCAAGGTCAAACACGTAATGTATATATCTACAAAAAACAAAAGCTCCTGCTTTGAAAAAGTTCCCAAAAAATTGTTCTAAATTTCAAATAATAACAGTTTGGCTAGGAATATGAAACAGAAGCAGCTTTGTCAGAGAAACTATCCTCTAACTATAAAGTCATTAAAGTTATAATTTCAAAAAATAAAACAATCAGAAATTAAAATTAGGTTTTAAACACATACGAAAGATCTCTATTAACTAATCCATTGCCAGAGCCAATGGAAGATCTTACCCCTTAACCAGCTCAACTGCAATGAAATCATTTCCATCCCCACTGTTGAAAAGGATGAAACCATCAGCAGAAGTTGTCTTGAACTGGAAGAAGAGATGCATGGAGGTATAGGCCTGCAAGGTTGCTAAGCTCAGATAGCTGCTCTTGGTCTTGAAGGTAACAGGATCAGCAATGATGTTACGGAGCCCAAAGCGGGCTTTCAATTCACAATAGTCAATGTCTCCATTCTTGCATAAGTCAATGTAGAGAAGGCCATTGAACATGAGGCTCTGAAGGTGGCCAATAAAGCTGGAAGGAATGACAGAGATGTAACGCTTCTCTGTCATTATCCCAGTCTCAATGTTGTGGAACTCCAAGCGAGTGTGATCACCAACCATTGTACCTGAAGATCAAAGCACAAAAAAACCCCTAATAAAAATCTGAAGTAACAAAAGAAAGCCTACTATTTCTATCTCTTTTAGGAATAAATAAATTATGGCACATCTTGCTAAATCACAACTTTCAGTATTTCTAACCATTATCAAACTTTTATAGGAATGTTGGGAACTGCAGCTTACCAAAATGTGGAGTGCTAGATAGTTCCTGAACCTTTTTCTACTAATACTAATGCTGTTTCTTTAAGTCAACCTATCATAACCTGGTACATTAAATCTGGGCAGCTACCATGCCAAGAAATTGCAGCTATCATGGTCATTAGCAGTCTTGGCTGAAAATGTTAGAACTACATTCCAACCCTTGTGGGGAACACAATGATAAATAAGGATGCCTTAAGGCTCCACCATCTTGTCCAGACTGAAAGCAATGCAATGCAATGCAATGCAATAGAATAGAATAGAATAGAATAGAATAGAATAGAATAGAATAGAATAGAATAGAATAGAATAGAATAGAATAGAACAGAACAGAACAGAATAGAATAGAACAGCACATCAGAGTTGAAAGAGACCTTGGAGGTCTTCTAGTCCAACCCCCTGCTAAGGCATTGGAAGTCTGCAAGCATTAAAAGTCTGCATGCTTAGAAGTTCTGACGTTCCTCTTTCTTCTTTCTTCTGGCTTTTGAGAAAACAATTCTACAAAACACGATCACTGAGAAAGTCAGTTGGATATGCAAAGTTAGGAAGTTTCTCCTTAATTCCAGGTTGCTTCTGTTTTTGGTCAGTTTCTAACCATTGTTTCTTGTTCTGCCCTCTGGTGCTTTGGGGAATAATTTGACCCCGTTCTTTGTGGCAGCCCCTCAAATACTGGAATACTGCTATCATCTCCACATGAGAATATTTAATACTATGCTTTAAACCATGCTTTAGCATTATGAGAATGCAGCTATAGGCTTTTCTCAGGTTTGTATACTGCTTTTCAATTGGAAAAGCAAAAAAAAAAAAGTCTCAGTCTTCTGCTTCTATTTAGATTAACTACATCTTAGTGTACTATCTGACCCCTAAAGAATCACAGATTTTAATTATAATTAACAAAAGCAATCATGCTTTGAAATTTGCTGTTTGTACTAAACATATTGTCAACGCTGCTAACATCGGATGTTTTTGCTTTGACAACAGATGTAAATGTAGCCATTTTTTCTCTATAGCCTTTAGAGTTCATTGATGCTGGGAGAGGGAATGTGGATGAGAGTCCAGCTAGTCATAACTATAATAACTCAGCTTTGGGAACCCAAGGTTATTAGGTCCAGAGCTGATAGAGATTTGGTGGGGTGGAGAGCTGGGGAGAAAGCCCATGCTTCAAATTAATTGGGGAATGTGATTTATGACTGTTAATTGGAGGAGGGAATTGTGCTTTGCTATTTTGTGCCAGGGGAGATAATTCAGTTTTTGGCTTCAACTACGTAGTGCCGATACTTTGTTTCTTGAATGAAAGATTATTTAAGGAAAACAATGCCTTGAAGTTCTTTTGAAGAGATCCATCCATCAGAACCATGACATTAAGCAAAACCTCCAATTTTTACTTAACTATCTTGGGGACCTGAGCCCCAGTTGCTGTCTCTAGAATTGAGGGATAGACTGACAGAGATTCAGGGAAGATCTCAGCATAGAGAAGGAAGGAGTGCCTGAAAGCAGCACCCTGGCAGTGGGTGCTACCTCAGAGAGGGGAGCGCAAGCCAGCTGGTGGAGAAGGAAGTTTTTCAGGCCTCAGTTGGGAGCAAGACCCAAGCTGCAAGGACAGCTGATCTGGTCATCGAAATGGACCCAACCAAAGTAAAAGCTGTAATTGAATGGCAGCCCCCAAAGACTTGCAAACAGCTCCAGAGCTTTCTGGGATTCACCACCTTCTACCGTCAATTCATCCCCTCCTTTGCTGAAATTGCCCTACCCCTTACAGAATTATTAAAAATAGGTAAAGAGAGAGGAAAGCCGCATCTGGGCCAACCACTAGCATGGACTACGAACCGCCAGACCTCTTTTGAGAATTTAAAAAGACCATTTGGGGTCGAATCAGTCTTAAAGCATCCTTGCCCAGGGGAGCCCTTTGTGATTCAAGCTGATGCCAGTGACTTGGCCGTTGGAGCTGTACTACTGCAAAAGAACTAGAGTGGGACCCTACAACCCCGCGCCTACACCTCAAAAAAATTCTCTGAGTGCAACAGGAGGTGGGCTGTGTGAGAAAAGGAAGCCTTCACAATCCGTTGGGTCTATTAAACTGGAAACACCATCTAGAAAGGAGCAAGGTGCCTTTCGAGGTATGGACTGATCACAAAAACCTAAAAGCACTAAAAACTCCCGCAAATTGTCCCCAAAACAAGTACAATGGGTGTTTTAATTTCACCCTAAAGTACATACTGGGAGGAAAAAACTTCTTAGCTGATGCTCTATCCAGACTGCCCCAGTACAAAAGCCAGCACGAAGAGGTTAATGAGGCAATTATCTCCAATCCACAAACTGCTTCTCAACTCACATCGCGCAGAGTCTCACCTTCAAGAGCCCCTGGGGCAAAGAAAATAAAACAAAAGCTCCTCACCAACAATGGTTCAAGGACAATCCCTAACATGCAGGGATGGTTTGGCTTACAAGGGAGGAAAGCTATATTTGCCAGAAACCCTCTGCCTTGATGCACTCCGACACAGCCATGACATAAAACAGGCTGGGCACTTTGGATATTTAAAAACATTACACCTCATCCTCCCGCAATTCTGGTGGCCAGGATAGAAACGGGATGTGGAAAACTATGTCTGGAGTTGTGCTGTATGTGCCACCTTGAAAAGAATTCCAGGGAAACCCCCTGGGTTATTGCAACTGGTGGTGAACCCTTCCCAGCCATGGGAAGAAATTGCTATGGATTTTATAGAAGATCTACCTGAAAACAGGTGAAATACAGTTATCTGGACTGTGATAGATCTGTTTTCAAAACAGGCTCACTTCACTGCCTGCAAAGGACTCCCATCTGCCCAGTGACTAACCAAGATGTTCCTGAAACATGTCTACAGACTGCATGGTGCACCAAAACATGTAATCTCAGACCGGGGAGTGCAGTTTACAGCCATGTTTTGGAGGGGTTTTTCTTAAACTAATTGGCTCATCTCAAGGACTATCATCGGCCTTTCACCCGTCTACCAATGGGGCACCTGAATATGCAAACTCAATGGTGAAGCAGTATCTCTAATGCTATGTGGATTATCAACAAACAAACTGGACTGACCTCCTCCCTTTCGCAGAGGTGGCTTACAATACTCTGTTCACAGCAGCACTGGCTTCACGTCTTTTAAAGTGGCCACAGGAAAAGAGTTCAGCCCAATACCCAAATATCCCCAAGCACCCCCCGCTTCCCAGATTCTTGATCAATGGGTGAGGGGGTGGGAGGAAGTCTGGAAAACCGCAAAAACTGCTTTGAAAAAGGCTTCCAAGACATACAAAAAACAAGCAGATAAAAAAGGGCTCCTCAAAGAACATTCCAAATTGGGGAAAAGGTTCATCTTTCAACTAAATATTTACAACTTAAGTTACCTAGTAAGATGTTAGGACCGAAGTACTTAGGACCCTTCCCCATTGTAAAGATCATTAACCCAGTCATGGTGGAATTAAAACTTCCTAGGCTCTTAGGAAAAGTTCACCCTGTTTTCCACTGAAGCCTGTTGAAACCTTTTCAGGGTTCCACCTTAAGACCTCCTCCTAAGAAGGCACCCAGATCCCTCAAAGTGGCAGGACAGACTCACTATGAAGTAAAGCATATTCTTGATTCAAGAATTTTTAAAGGGAAATTGCAGTACTTAGTGCAATAGAAGGGATATCCGTTGTCTGAGGCCACCTGGGTGAAATCTAGTGATGTAAAAGCTGACAGGCTCATTAATAGGTTCTGTAAGAAACACTCTAACAAACCAAAAGGCAACCCCTAACCTGTGCTTTTGTTTACATTACAGGATTTGTCCTTTTTGTAAGGGGAGCCAGATGTCAATGCTGCTACCATCGGATGTTCTTGCTTTGACAACAGATGGAAATGTAGCCATTTTTTCTCTATCGCTTTTAGAGTTTGTTGATGCTGGGAGGGGGAATGTGGATGAGAGTCCAGCTAGTCATAACAATAATAACTCAGCCATGGGAACCCAGAGGTCCAGAGTTGATAGAGATTTGGCGGGCTGGAGAGCTGGGGAGAAAGCCCACACTTCAAGTTAATTGGGGAATGTGATTTATGACTGTTAATTGAAGGAGAGAATTGTGCTTTGCTACTTTGTGCCAGTGAAGGGGAATTCAGTTTTTGGCTTCAACTATGTAGTGCTGATACTTTGTTTCTCAAAGTTCTTTTGAAGAGATTCATCTGTCGGAACCATGACACATATACTTAATGCTTAATCTTACATAATTTGGGTTTGGATAACATGGCAAGAAGTTATTAAATTCAAGCAGAATGAAAACATTTCTGTTATGTCTAAAATGGAAATAAAAGCATAGTGAACAAGCAGAAGTGCAGTCTTAGATCTTTCTTGTAACACTAAGGTGGAGGTTTAGCTGTAAATTTTCACCAAGCTCTCCAGTGTTTTTCATTTCTGTAGCAGCATCTGTCTCATGAAAAAGGATCCCCCCAAATTCTGGCTCCAATTCTTTTAGCCTTTTGTAAGTCTCTGAAGACTTACTTAGCTGTTTCCCTTGATGTTTGTACTAGGGGCTTAGATGATGTCTGCTCCTGGCTTTTGTGATTGGGCTCATTCTTTTATTGTTTAGGACCAAGGATTGTATGTTGTGGTTCACATTTTAATCCTCGTACAACAAAGCCACAGTTGTGATCAATGGTTACACAAATTATTTAATTTAATGAATAAAATGAATAAATCTCTGCTTATAGATAAGCAATCTTGTCAAATTTAATACAAAGATTTGATTGATGATTGATTGATCGATAATGTGCATCAAGTCAGTGTTGACACTTAGCAAGCATTTTCTCCATAATGATTTATCTTAATCTGGTCCTTCACATCCAACAGTGTCCCTATTGCCACTGTAAGATGCTGCTAGTCATGCTCTTTTTTCCACCTTTCTTACTATTAGAGTCTTCTCAGAGAACAAGATCTTAGCATAATGGATATGAAGCAGGATAATTTGAGCCTGGTCATTTTTGCCCCAAGTGGGATTGATTTGCTCACTGATCAATTCATCTGTTTGTTTTTGTTACTATCCATAGTACTCTCAGGAGTTTTCTCCAACACCATTGTTCAAATCCATTATCTTGCTTCTTCAAAGTTCTACTTTTGCTTCTAAAGACCTTGCATTATTCTTATCTTTCTTAGAACAGACAGATCTTAGCCTCTGAATACATTTTGCATGGTCTTCATAGCTGCTCTACCAAATGCTACCTGTGACATACTGTATTTCTTTACCTATTCTTTATACATTTTTAAAGTTTTAACAGAAATAATAAGAACAACTACAAAATAAAATAGAACAGAGCAAATAAAAAAGAAAGAGAAATAAAAGGAAAAGCTAAAATGAAATTAGAAAAAATAGAAGAAAATAGAAAAAGAAAGAGACTAAGATATAGAGGTATAAAGAAGAGGTTTTCTGTGCTTTTTACAGCACCTACGTACTATTATATTTTAACCTCTGTCTCTCTAGTTACATTGTGACACTCTTCTTTGTCTAAGCATCAAAATTATAAATCGCTAGTTCATTTTTTTCACGTTTAGGGATCTTTATGACATATTTCTTGACTGCTTGCTCCTTTACTGTTGTTAGTTGATCCTAAAGGGCAGAAACTGTCTTCCATTTTGATATCTTCATAGTCAGTTTCAAGCCTGGTTATTGTACCTCTTGTCTTTAGTTTGATCTTCATTATATTTAGTCCCTTTTTTATTAAGCTTTTTGACTTTTATTTCTAGACTTTGCAGATTCTTTGCATTTTCAGCTATTGATTAATTAGATTAATTAGATTAATATTTGCAAAGAATCTGCAAAGTCTAGAAATAAAAGTCTTTGGATTGCCCAAAGACAATGTCAGCTTAGGAAAAAGAACTTTACACCACTCTAACCAAAATCAAATGATAAGGTATCCAAATGAAAAAGTTTTTTGAATATAAATAATTTTCTCACCTTGATTTCTTCCTATATTAAAGCATAGCTTGGGTTGTTAAATGGAACTTATTCCTGTAAGTGCTACTTTGACCTATCAACTTATTGAATTGTGTCTTCCATGTATATTGCCCTGTTTTTCACTTTCAGGATTTTCCATTAAGTTACCAAGGGCAAGGGTGGCAGAAGAAGGAGAGGGAAAAGAAAAATGAGGACAAAGCCATAAAAATGATAATGTGGTCATCCTGCTGCTTTGCACAGGAAAAACAGTTCCACTCTACTGTCGGAGGTTATTTTGGTTATCATTTGCTCAATGATCTGGCAAGAGGTAAGACAGAAGAAGAGAATGGATAAGAACAGCCTCATTAACTTCAAGTAGCAAATTACCTCTCCATTTCACCATGGCTTGTTTCTATGCCGGTCAATAATTATTTGCTTCCAGAAAAAAATCTAATTAAATTATTTTTCCTTATTTACACAAATGTACAGGCGTATGGTTCCCATTGTTACCTGCATGTACAAAAACATTCAGGCATTCTTTTATAAGTGTACTAATCTGTAGGCATATAGATGATCTCCAGCTACATAAGTGTTAATTTATAATTCAGTGGGCATGACGCTATATTGTATGCTTTAATAAGTACGAGTAATTAAAGTGGATTAGGATTTCACATTTGGATTTATTAACTTAATCTTATCAAAACTGGACTATGAATTACCTTAATCTACCCTTCTTAAACACACACAATTCACTTTCTGACAAGCTTCATTGTAGTTAAAGTAACATATGCCATCATGTGGCTGAGCCCTAGAACTGCTTCTCTCTTAGCATTGATAAATTATTCATAGAAGCATAAAGAAATAATTGTTTGATAAATCCAAAATGAGTACACTAAAGGGTAGTAAATATGTAAAATAGGTTGAGTTTTTATATTACCCATTTATATTATGGTATTGTCTGGGGAAGAGGACGAGGAGGAGGAGGACGAGGAGGAGAAGGAAGAAGAAGCCTTCTTAAATGAGGAGTTGAATGAAAAGGCAGGGTAAGAAAGAAATATGTGATTACCTGCAAGATGTAATGCGGTAAACACAAAAAGAGAAAGTGGAGAAAAGATAGGAAAGTGAACAGAAAAGAAAGGAAGGAAAGGGCAGCATTTGGAAAAGTAGTGCAATGGAGAATGGATAGGGAATGACTTGGAGGTTGGACATCGAGAGAAGAACATGAAAGCCACTATGGGCCATATCCAACTCGCTGCAACTTGCATCTGGACTGGTGTGAAGTTTTTGCACCGCTGTTCTAGTCTAGTAAAACAGAGGATCTTTGCAAACTTTTTGCAGTTTTTTAAAATTCTTTCAAGATTCTAGAAAAATACCCTATAGATAGAATAATTTCCTGATTTCTTTCCTTGCACTGGGAATGTCCACAGAATTTTACAGGACATGATTACAGATATAAAGTAAAAAGGAATGAAGAATTTACCCAGCATTGATTGGTCTTCATTGTTTACAGGAATAAAGTATGAATATAAGCAGAATAGTCTAGAACAGAGGTCCCCAACCTTTTGGGCACCAGGGACCAGTTCCGTGGAGAGAGATTTTTCCACAGACCAGATGGTGTATGGTTTTATGTGCTGCCTGCATCGTGCGGATGGAGCTTTGCTTGTTTGTGCGGCCTGTTTGCTGGCTTGCCACAGCCTATATCGGTCCATGGACCAGAGGTTGGGGACCCCTGGTCTAGAATCCTCTGTTATTCCCTTCATCTTTACACAGCATTCCAGACTTTGGTCTGAGTCAAGTGCTTACCTGGCTAATCTTGTTCTTCATAGTGCTGAAATGAGTAGCTGTAGTTGCATATAGGGTGATCCAAATTGCTTATGTTCTTCATTCTTCAGGAATATCTCACAGAATTCTGTCTTATATTATGAGATAAGTTCAAATGCAAAGGAATCACATTTAGTAAATAGAGCTGAACCCACTCACCTTCGGCAACATCATCATCAACTGTAAGTTTGAGATTCTTTCCTCGACGTACCACTCGGACTGTGTGCCACTCATTATCATTGAGTTTTTGCCCAGCGTAAAGGGTTTCAGGTCCTTTACCTGGAGACAGCAGCAAGTAGAAGCAAGTGTTAAAATTACATCAAATACATAGCAACATTTTGCTTGGTTGGAAAAAACATCACTGAAATCACCTTGGTGTGACTTGCACCCTTAATCTAATTAAAACTGAGGGTTATTATTCTTTTACAATGAATGTTGACTTTTTTCTGCCTAGAAATATTTTCGTGTTTTTCATATTTTATCACCTAATAGATATATGCCTTACCTTTCCTCCTAGAGCTCAAGCTGGCTTTCATAAAAATCCTCTTTCATTTTGTGCCTACACCAGTCTTGTGAAATAGGCTCGGTTGAGAAAAAGTGACTGGCTAATGACACTTGCTGGCTAATTAAGTTCCCATGGCTAAAGATGGATTTGGATCTGGATCTCCTTAGTCCTGATCAAATACCTTAAACACTACACCATAATGGCACTCTTATCATCCTTAGATTAAAGTTTATCATGAAAACTAATATGTCACTGCTTGATTTCATAGTCAATGGATCTTCTATTACTCCTGATCACAATTTATAGCAGGTTGTTTTCAGCAAGCATAATTTCACATCAGGTCAAGCATAAACGACATCAAAACAATTTTATTCTCCTTATGCCTTGCAATGGGTATCACCATCATTCCAGACTTTTCCCTCTGTTTATTTTAATAAAGTATTTTTGCAGGCCTAATTTACACTTAAACATTTCCCACAGGTTCTCTGATAAACAATGCTCCTAAAGGCAAAGTTGGATATGCAAAACTTTTTATTTTTCTTTCCCAATAAATACAATTTATAAATTCAGGGCCCTTAGAGAAAAAAGAATATCATTTATGATAAAAGCAAAACCATGTGTATTGTGGTGTGCATAAATGAGTTCCAAATACAAAAATAAAATTAAAGCTCTTATGGTGTAGGAATACACAAACAACATTAACCGAAGTTTAAAGACTTACACTACAACATGCAGATTCTATTGAAATGATATTTTGGGACTTGTGGTAAATTGAACTTCAATGATGGTTCTACGTAAGGCAACATTCTCATCCAATAAATGATTTGAAATGAGAGGATGATAGTAGCCAACTAAATTCCAAGATGGATGGTTACATGCTATAAGTCTGTATTCAGCCAATATATATTCTAATATTAGACTTAGACATTCTAATTCTAATCTCCTTGCAAAAATTTCAAAATAATCCACAATGTTTATGCAGAAAATATCCTTGCCTTCAATGTGTATTAATTATGATGTTAGGATAATAATAAAGGATAATGTAGTCTGTCTATTCATTCTAGTTTATCAGAGATGGTTAAGTTATTTCAGAAACTGTGACTCAAGTGTCCTCTATAGAATATCCATTTCAACTGCGGTAATCCATGTCTAAGCAGTGAAAGTATAGCTTTTTGGTATGAAAATCCAAATGTAGATTTGATAGCCTGTAGTGAAGGTCATAAATTATGTCTATTTTATTATTTTTTCTTTCTGCAGGTTAAGATGGCTGCATTGTTTTATTATATTATTATTTCTTCCCATATTTTTATGGACCTTAAAAAATCTTTAAATATTTCTAGAGATTAAAAATCAGATTTCAAAATATAAACAAACTATTAGAAAATTGAATAGAGTCAATTGGGATCTGAACAAATTAGCCCAGAATTGGTTGCTTTTATTATGAAGAATCATATAGCACAGATTATTCATGAAAATGTAATAAATATGTAAAGCATCTTTGTTTCTTGCTGATATTCTGTAAAAATCTTGTAGTAATATAAGTAGTTCATGGCTATTATGGCAATACCAACTAGTTAAATGTACACATTTTCAATCTTTCTGCTGTGCACAGCCATTTTGCTTTTTAGATCAGACCCAAAACCCAATGGCAGGAGTGACTAGACTGATCCCATAATGATATTAGGAAAGCCTAAGAAATGATAGCCAATTACATTTTAAATGTATCCAAATGATTCCATTTCTGTCTCTTTTGTGGTATCAACATTACTCATGCATCTGTTTTTAGAATGAGAAAATTTTAGCTGATTCTGTTAGGTTAAAGGATTAAGGTTTTCTCTAAATGATATATTGGATGGAGTAAGTGCTATATTGGTAATACCTCACTTTCTAGAATGCAGCTGTATATAAAACAAGTGACATTTAGAGATCAAAACTCTGAGTAGCTCAGAGAAGGTTAAAAGAGAAGGGATTATCTTATTTTCAAACCCTTTTTAGCTATTCTTGGAATAAACTTGCAATAAGATTGTTGAAAATCATTTTAAATTTATTTATCACCTCTTCCTTCTTTGTTATCTAGCTTTGTTGTTTTCTTTGAATGCCTGTTGTTTTTGTTATTTGGGAGACATCTGCAGTGAGAAAAGAACCATTTGTCAGCCACAATTACCCTCCTGTAAATTTCTGCTCAACATCACCTTTTTCACAGTTATATTACCAAAGTTGCCACAGCAACAAAATGTAACAGTATAGGCAGCAGTGCAGGTGGTCTGTCCAAAAATAATGTCTAAAAATATTATTTCCATTTACAGATAGAGAATTGGCGGTAAATGACCAGAGGAAGGGGAGGGCAGGGGAGAGAGAGAACTGCAAATAGACTATTTTCAGATGGCTTTTATGAGATGGCAACGGGTCACTAAGTATTTGTTGTTCTTATTGCTGATTACCTAATTTATAAATACAAATAAGAAGCAGGAAGATTAGCATATACTGTAACAAATGCAGAATAAGAAAGTTATGCCTGAGCTAAAAATTAATTAGTAGTTTCCATAACTTAGAGCAGGGGATTGGACTAGAAGACCTCCAAGGTTCCTTCCAAGTTTGTTATACTGTTATTGTTACTACAATACTATTCTCACAGTAAGAATGGCATGGATGGAAGGAAGGAAAATAAAATAATAAAATTGTTTGCTTTTTAGATAGAATATCCCTATCACAACATTTTGATGCACATTTGGGGCAACATGAAAATGTAATGAATGAACAAACGTTAAACCAAAAGAGATGAATGCAATGTTTACAAATATAGCAAACATTCTGATTTTTATTCTATGTTTTCAATGGCATGGGCCTATGCAAAATTGAAGCTAACTGGTTTACTATTTATTGTACAGACAGATATATTGGTTAAATAATCATTATCATTAAATACAGTACAAAAGGTTGAAAAAATGTACTTCCTTGAGGAGCATTGTAATAAGAGAAAAAAATGAACCATAATAAATTATAAATCCATTCACATTCACTCACACATTTATTCTTTATGCAAATACTAGTTTTAAACATTCCTTACCAGAAAACTTTTTGCAGCAAAAGGAGGATCACAGAATATGCTTCAGACTTCTTAGCTTTGCTCTTACTTTTCTTACCTGTAAAGTCTCTTTCAGTCCATCTTTCCAGATTGAGGGAGACCATTGCCACATTATAAAATAGCCAAGCTCAATATACTATTCTACTCTATCCACAATACTCACATTAAAATAGCCAACCCACCCACCCCCCACCCCCAATAAAATCAAAAGTGCCATAAGTCAACTTCCTACATTTTCATTATGATCTGTACTACAACATACCTACAAGATAAAAATGCAAAAAGCTTTATTTTTTATTGTATATTTTTTTATCCAATTTGTATACCACCCAGTTATATACTATAAGTCTGGGCAGTTTACCATAAAAACAAGAATTACAACACACAGTAGAATCCAAATACTGTTAATCCAAATTCTGTAATGTTTAGTCACTCTACTCTCCTCAACATCCACAAGATAGACTTTACCACCTTTCAAAATGGCGGGGGGGGGGAAGAGCTCATAAAATGCATAAAGCAAGTTTCATAATGGGAGATTGCCACTGAAAAAGAGAACCTATGGGTTCTTGTCTCTTTCACTTAATGCAGATTGCACACCATTGAGACAGTTTCTTTAATACAGAGGATAGGCTAAGATGGCATTGAAGTTTTATGGAGGGTGAACCAGTAGGTCTTCAGAGGTTAAACTAGCATTTTGAATTCAGTCCAAAAACATACAGGTGATTGAAACACTTTTGCTATACTGCTAAACTTCCCCATCCCCATTGGCTAGTCAGGATATTGCATTTTGTCCCAGTTGCATATTCTGAATTAGTTCCGTGGCCCAGGACTCAAAATCGGAAGAAGCAAAGCTGCTCTAGCTGACCTGCTGGAATGACAGCTTTAGGTGACATCAAGGCAGCATCAGAATAGCTGCAGAAGTCAGATGAAAAAAAGTGTGGCCTCCAAAGCCCTAGACTTAATGAGTAGAGTGGGGTTTTGTCATGGGTTTTTTTTTAACTCAAAAAAAAAAAAAAAAACCTGGCTGTAGTCCTATTTAAGAGGCATCTCTGACTCATATTTCCTGTTGGAAACAACAGTCTGATACAGTATTTGGTATATGGTGCCTTCTGCTCATGTAAGAAACTTGACACTCTGACCCTTGTGAAGTCTGCAATCTACTTTGGCAAGTTGTATTTCCAGAAACTCTGATTTATGCTTCTTTGCTTGTGGCTGTTTATCTACCAGTCTTGAGTAAATTGCTTACTATTACTTAGCACATGGATTTATGCAAGATACCTGGAAAAAAGTTTTTTTTCCTTTTTAGAATATTGATGTATAGGTAGTCCTCAACTTATGACCACAATTAAACACAAAATTTCTTTTGTTAAGCGAGACATTTGTTAAGTGAATTTTGCCCCATTTCACGGCCCTTCTTGCCACAATTTTAAGTGAATCACCACAATTGATAAGTTAGTAACACGGTTGTTATTAACTGGCTTCCCCGTTGATTTTGCTTTTCAAACAGTTGCAAAAAAAAATGATCACATGACCTTGGGACACAGCAATAGTCATAAGTATGAGTCAATTGCCAAGCATCTGAATTTTGATCACATGATCATGGGGATGCTACAGAAGTTGTAAGTGTGAAAAGCGGTCATAAATCACTTTTTTCAGTGCCTTTGTAATTTGAACAGTCATTACATGAAC